GCAGTGAGCTGTCACACCCATCACAGGTAAAGATCAATTTGAAACACGAATGAGTGAGTCACATTTTTTTAATCTGAGTTCCATCATTGAAAAGCCAGCACCACGACTATATTGCTAACTTGTAGTCAATTGAGTTGTGCTCCTCTATCGTTTAAATTTATTCTACAGAGTTGTCAGTTTGTTGGTGCCATGGAACCAATAGGAATTAAATCTAGAAGCTAACATTTCCTAAAGAGCACTGACACCAAGACCAGAACGCCAAAGAAAGCCTAGGAACAAAGACTAACTCAACAGCTTTCAAATTATGGATATGATAGAACGCATAGAAAATGAAAAGAGCACATCAAAAGCAAAATTAGCTTCCATCCTAACTTCACTGTGACCAGTCTTGACCAAAGCACCAAACTACAGAACCAGGTGTTCACTGACCCAAGAAAGAAAATAGCATAAGTAAATTGACATCTCATGAATGCAACAAATTGCCTACGATCTTAGTGTTTGTAGAATCCAGAGATGCCTCCAGTGTAGCTGAAACCGAGATATTTGTCTTTAGCAGGAGGAGTGATAGTTTTATAACTCTTATCGTCAGTATCGTCGTTTTCGGTTTGTTCCATTGCTGTGGAGATGCCAGAAGTCGTGGAGATCAGCGAAGATCGCTTATTGCAATGGGAAGCTGATGCACGGCGTTTCGCAGAGAGTGGAAGCACGCCATCTCCATTACCCAAGAATTCATTCTCTTTGTCAATATTTTCAATTGTGTCTTCATATAAAGTCCCAGATGAATGTCGCTTTGCCGAAAGTCTAGATGAACGGCGTCTAGAAAAAGTAAAATGAATGTGGCAATAAACAGGTATCAAAAACATGGTAATATAGCAGTAAATACAAGTCATTACGAAATGAAGTCTCATCGACACGCATGGAGGAGTGGAGGAATGGTCAAATGCACCATCAAATTGTATTCAATATTACCAGGTTTCATCTACTCAAATCAAGAATGATCAACATGCATCTTAATACACTTGGAAGTGGATTGCGTCGCTATTTGTGGCTAATTAATTGAATGCATGCCATTGTGAGGTGGAAAAGCGATTGACACCATCCAACTTAGTTCAGTTCGAAAGTCAATGAATGCACAAAATGCAACGGTTTCAACCAGTGTACCCAAGCATTACATAGACAAATGCACACGTGAGTCCTAGGTTTGAAAAAAAAACTAGACAGATAGAAATGCGCTGTTGTCTTCCCACTTGGGACTCAATCAACGCACAGCCAAAACAATACGCAATTAATTAGCGAGCTTCTCTGTCTCTCACTACTGTATTAACGTGCTTGAGCACACTTCAAAATACTTGCTACACTCCCCTCTTTCCAACATGAATTCGTACATCGATTAAAGAATCTCATTCAGATCACTGCTTCGACTTATCATCTACTCCGCGGCTGCCACGCATTCAAATATTGGTCTACTCCTCTTCTTCTGTTGAAAATTCGGAAGATTCCTAGTTACCACCAAGTGATAAGCCAACAGAGTCGAGCTCATACAACTCGCATCACATATGTACATAAAAATACATGAGTATTGACAAGATAGCAAGTCAAAAAATCTCAAAAACAGAAGTAGTTGCTAAGCCATTAAGCTCCAAAAAGGTCTAATCCAACAGACTTGATTGAAATGGCACAGGAAAATTTGCATTACCGAAAAAAATATATCAAAAACAAACGACTTACAAACTGGTATTGAGTGGGGAAACCTGTCGTAACTCTTCAACGTCATTGAAAACAACCGCTGAACCACCGCCTGCAGTAGGGATTATCGAACCCTAACAAAAGAAAAAAACAATTGATTACAAAGCACTTTTTTGAAAAATCTTTATTAAATGTGCCTCAAACATATCGAGTCAAGGGTAATAAGGAACCTAAAAGCTTCTACCAAAATTTCAAATATTTTTACGCATCCAAATTTAGATTTAAAAAACATAGCAGGTGTTTATAAAACCATCCTCATATCCTTGATTTTACCCTTCCCACTGACGATACACCTTATTTATAGCAAATGAATACATAAACCGTACCTTATAGAGTTTAGTTTCCAAATCTCCATCAGGTGTAGAAGTCTGATGATGAAGTAGGTAATTTGTCGCTTTGAGAGTATCTTGCAGACTAATTTTGGTAGCAGATTTGCGTACGTTAATACCAGTAGGTGAGAGAATGGTGCCCAGAGGCGCAGGGCGGTCTTCTCTGTGTTCCAGCCAGACAGTGGCATCGCCGCCAACCGATTTTGACCGACGGTGTCGAGGGTTCATTGCTGGAGGTCGGTTGGTGGCTTGGGCCAGAGCCACTTCAGTACGTGAACGCGACATTGAACGTCGATCCCCTCTTCGAGCACCTGGGGCTTCTTGTTTCTCTTTTGCCAAGCGGGTCTCCCATTGACGGGAAAGAAGTGCCACACGGTTCTGTATTAGTTAAAGAAAAGTGCAACTCTCAACATAAAAGGTCGAATGCTCCAAGTTAACACTAATTAATTCATACGAGCCTTCTCTCTGTTGGATTAGAGATTGATGAGAAGAGATGCAATCTGATGAATGCTGAGCATTTCAATCAGACGTATAAGTGGGGAAAAAATCAACATATTCAATTTTCTGATGAGCGTTTCAGCGAATATACAACCTTGTGAGTAAGATGGTAAACAGATAGACACCAAAATCAATTGAAGCTGGCACAATTTAATGCAAAATGCGAACATAAATTGTAGGAAAGGATGACGAAACTTGAAACCTGAAAACCCGGCAAAAATTTCACCTCTCAGTTGTTCTAAACACATACCAATACCACTTAACAGCTACAATTGTAAGAGAGACTGTCCACGTATTTCTTGATACCAACTCAGTTTAGATGGAAAACTAGAAAACATGGATGGTAAGTTACAAAATCAAAGGAAAATGTACCACACCGGATTTTCCATATGAATTGCAAAACCGAAAAAGCATCATTTTGAAGGATGTTATTTGACGGGTATCCTCTCATGCAGTGCAGAAAGTAGTACACTGACGATGAGCTGTTCACCTCACAAATCAATAAATATTTTAGTTTAATGTTAGCTTTACGCAACGCGTCTTAAGTACAAGGTTTTGAGCATGTCCTAGATCTCGCAACCCCCCCCTCCCCCCCCGTTCAGACAGTTCTTGTGGGTTTATCCTCAGATTCAAAGACAGTGGCAATTTCGAATGTACCTAATAAACGCATTCATTACCTTTCAGATCCTGCACGCAAGTTTGCTTTCAGACAAACAAATTCGAATTACCAGCTAAAGTATAACACGCTAGTAAATAATTGAAACAAAAATACAACTATTGAGTAAAGTCTCATCGCCAAAAGAACGAAGTAATGGGAAGAATGAGAAACGTCTTATTGGAGAAGATGGAAAACCTGAAGAATTTTTACCTTTGATGATTTCCTGATCAAGTCTACTTCAATAATCTGCTTAAATCACGTGTCTTAAATGAGAACTTGACAATGACTTACCATAGTCGATGGAACAGCAGGTCCTTTCCTTAGATTATACCTCGAAGAACCCATGTCATCAGTGGTGCTTGTAGAGCTAATGGAACCTCGAGGAGTTCGCTTGACTCGAGGTATTGAACGTGACATTTGCTGGAGAGACGCCAGTTGCTCCTTGAGCTTTCTGATCTGGGCTTTGGTTCCAGTCAATTCACGATCATGGTCGTTACGTTCCTGTGAGCGTAGGGTTCTCAGTCTTGCTATCTCATTCTAAAAAAAATAATTAAAATCAGATAATTTCTAAAATCGCGATAAAAAGGTGAATGTTTATTCTTAGTACTGCAAATACAGAGGGTTAATTCGTACACAATATTTTGACATGTTGAATCACAGAAAAAGGAGGGCAACTTTGCAAGTATTTGAGAAAAACACAAAAACACGCTTCTCCCACGTGGATAAAAACCACCGAACACATTGCCATTGAAGAATTTGAAATATGTTTACAACCTTACTAGCTTGATGGGAAGAACACGCTCCAGTACTCATTGTGAACCAAGAAGCCAGCATTCTGGAATATGTTTGAATTCCGAGTCAGAGGATTGTGACCACCAAAATAAGTCAGCAGCTTCCCTCCATACATAGTTTTCTAACCTACTTGCTCTTCGCATTTAAATCACAAGCATTCCTATAGGCCTAATGCCTTTTCTATAAGATGTGGCCTATTTAGAAACTGCTTCCTGCATAGACAGATATAACACGAACTGATGACTACCCAACTTCTAGATATAAACTAACAGACTTCGAGGCTACATAATTCATGAAAAGGACATCCAGATGACCAGAACAAAAATATGACATATTACCAGGTTAATGAGCAGCAACTTAAAGATCCAGAGGTTAAATTACTGATCTCAGTTGGCATGGAATTTTGCCAAAAATTGCCAAATGATTGCTCTCCTACCTAGCAAAATAGAATCGATAAGTAGTCAATTTTACTCCTGATCTTATATGAAACAACGATGAAAATCAACGGCGTTTATTTAATTGGCTTAATCAGCAGGTGTTACCTAAAGGGGAAAGGAGTAACCAGCTGAAAATCAAATTCCCGCCCCCCCTCCCCCAGCCCCCCGCATCCCAAGTAAATCAATAGGAGAGTCGAAGTCATCATTTTGAATTATGGTGCAAATATAACAATTAGCGAGCCCACGTCCAAGCTCGTCAAAATAACAAATTTAATGAATCTTCAGTGCACTGAAACATCTCACTGGCTTTTGAATTTATGCTTTTGTGAAGCCCTTGCTGACCAATACAATTCGATTTAGTCTAATATTTATCCATAAATCTAATATCAGGTAAAAAAATCCATGCTATGTCTAATTTTCCTGAGTTCCACCTTCCAAAAAAATGAAAAAGGCGTTACTTCTCAATCATCTTGAGTATTTAAACTCATCAAACTAACCTGCTTTCACGAATGGAGAAAATTGAATAGAATTATATATATGTTACTCTTGTAATGGGAAAACTAAAAAAAAGGATACTGTACTCCAAACCAACTAAGCAAACTTGCCTAAAAAGGGCATGTTATAAAATTTGGGGAAAAATTGGAAAAAGTACAACTGCTACCTACCTCCAAATGCTTAATTCTCGAATCCAAATGAAGTGTTTCCACCTTGGATTTTCCTAAAGCATCAGCAAGAGCTCGACTCGAATCCTTCTCAGCCCGACGGAGAAAGTTATCAAGGGATGCATTGGCTTCTGTTGCAAAACGAGATAGAAGCTCCCTGAGCTTCTGGCGTTCATCGATTCGCACTTGAAGAAGAGAGAGAAGAGGGCAAGAAGAGGAACCATGGTGAACACCCTCCATGGTAGAACGACGTGAGGATTTTGAACTTCGACGACGTCCCTTTTCTCCACACCCACATGCACAACCAACATTCGTCATGAATTCCTCCAAATTGTCGGACATGAAAAAGGATCCAGCTCCACGCAGTTTGGTATCCAAAGATTCAAGCGTTGCAACCGACTCGAGGATATCGTTATTAAGAGCCTAAAGAGGCAATCAATACTTAATTAAAGAAGTGAGTACAATTGGAATTAAAAACAGAATAAGAGATACTTACCATCAAGTCAGCTGAGGAGCTAGAGCGCTCAGATGCGACTTCACTTCTCATCGGTGTAAGAGGAATAACCGTGGAAACCTGCTGACTAGATTCAGCAAACTGAAGTACTTGCTATCAAAATTGAAAAAAAGCCATATAATAAACAAATACAGCCAATTTGAGTAAATAAAATCAAACGAGATGCTTACTGTAGTCTCTGAAAACTCCTTCGCCGTTGGATGTATGCACACAAGAATGGCTACCTGCCCACGACCATCAAAAAAGGACTTAAAGATGCGAGTTAGCTTGCAATCTCTGTAAGGAACTATTTGAGGTTGAGCGCTCGGGTTCTTCAACGACTTAGCACCCTGATTGGATCTTAGGGCATCAATGCACTGTCTTAGCGACATTAGAGACTTGTTGATTGTAGCTATTGGAAAGGACAGAGGAATTAGTTATAATAACATGTGCTTTCCCTCCTTGATTTGATTCTTACTCCACGCAATTTCATGGATGCCGGTCTTCATAATTGAAAAAGCATAGAAAATGTTCCAACAATAGTAGACAACGAAATAGACAATTCATTACTAATGTTCACTAGAAAACAAACCATCAAACTGAACCAATCACAATCGGATTACTAATTACAGATGCTTTAATCTGGATGAGGGGCGTGCGATAGACTTACCCCCACGTGGTGCACCCTGGGCAACGTGTACTCATGCTGCAAAAAAGTCAATTAATCGGCAGTTGACTTCTCACTTCAAACAATCATCACCCCCACTGTATGCCATATTCGACCCCTACCACCACTCACCTTACCCTTTCTGAGCCTTTGTGTCTGTCTGTTTCTTTTACATCTGTGAATCACTTTTCTATTCCCCCCTCCCGAATCCTACTCACTTTGATGTTCCTCTTCCCCTCTGTGAAGTCCGAAGTCAACTAAAGGGCTAATGATAACTATCAAAACGCCTGCCATTTGTTATAAAATTAATCTGGATGAAATGGCAGAAAAAAAGTTTAGTGCCGTAGATAAAGCAGAGGCTATCTAAGCACACGTTAAAGCGATACTTAAACAATGGGGCAGTTTGTCAAATGCCTATGAAACCGTTCACATAGTGGCTGAAGGAGACCTCTACCTGATGAGTGGCCAGGACCAATCAATACTAAACGGCAAAAGGTGACAATTATCAGAAGCCTCAAAATATCTCTCAAAGGCCCGACATCCGTGAGTGGTCGGAAATTGCACACATTGAAAGAATAACAAGAGCAATTCGTATTGAGTGAATGCAACTCAATGAGCTCTTCTAAGTTATACACTACCGCAGAATAAAATTAACTCAGATTTTAATAAGCGAAATCACAACGTTTAGCCCAGGAGTCAAAAATTAAATGCTGAACTCAGAACATAACGCGGTGGACGATAAGAATATGAAAAAGCGCCCAGATATAAAGCAATAAAGAATCCTAATTGTTTCTTTTGGAGTGACAAAAGTTACATCAATCATGTAGCATTTCCCATTTAAGGAAATAAAAATTATAATTACTTACATGCTTCTTTGAGGCGCGTGCCAGCAGTTCCACTTCTGCAGGTTCTTTCAGAGCCTGCCAGATCGACAAGACAAAGTTGACTCACAGAAAGCAAGTTCTTATCCTAAGAGGTTTTTGGCCAATGTCTTACTATTGTAATAGAATCTACCATAATGACTTCATCATAGGTTTGGTCATATCCAGTCCGGACAATACGAATGAAAAAGATTCCATGACTTCGACTTGATTCGTTATTAAGAATAGTAGAACCAACACGTCTACGTTGTTGACCTCTATAATAAGCCTGTAGCGCTTCATTTGAAGACTTGACCTCGATTTCGGTGACTCCATTAACGTAGGTATTTTTATTAGCATCTTCATAGAGGCTGAGAGATTTTCCGCTGTTTGTGGGATCCAGCAGATCGTAAATGACATCATTATAAAGCTCAACATAGGATATGAAAACTGCGTAGAGATATTGCTGAGAGATGGGAATAACAGTTGTTTCAACAAGACGATGTTCCAAAGCCGATAGAGTGTAATCTCCCTTCATGGGAGTCCGCTTTACCGAGTATTCGAGACGCTGTCGATCCATTATTGCTTCTGCTTCAGATTGAATCTCAAAACCATTGTGACCATTCGGTTTAATTACATATTTAAGAGTCAGATGAGAACCAATTGAGTTGAAAACGGTATCAAGAGTACGAGGAACAAGACCTGGGTCTTCAAAAGATCCTTGCATCGTATATGTCTTGCCACTTCCCGTCACACCATAATTGAAAAATAGTGCTAAAGATACTCATTAAATTACTAAGCTAAATATCACCATTTTCGTCCTTAAGAAACGACTCAACATATGGCAAGAGACATGTGTAGAATACATCTGATTGAGTTGATGTTTGGTCAAAAATTCGTGAAAAATTGTGTACATTCTAGACATTATTATTAGCAGCAAATGAATAATACCTGGGACTTGAAACGAGGTTCTTGGATCGACAATGTTTTCTCATCAATGACGTTTATGCATACCTCATCCTCGTCCGTTTTTGGTCTTATGCGGCAAAATACTTTAACCGGTTCAAATTGACCATTTTCCCCCATAATTATATTCACTAATAAGGAAAAACTGAAACACCGTCGTAAATTGCACAAAAGCCAAATAATAAAAACTGCAAAGCGCGCAAATCTAGAGGTCTTCAGTAATCAAATTGTTTAAACAAAACAATAGATTTCTCAGCTTTAACAATTATTCGCATTTTAAAATTATAATTTTAATTATTAATATTCATTAAATAATTTTTTTATTTCTTAGACATTTTTCTGTTGAAAACAAAGAATATTTATATCGAATGATTTTTTAAGGTGATATGCAAATCAAATAGCAACATTTTCATGAAAATTTAACTAATTGTTTTAACAGACTTAATTCTTGAAGTTTACTTTTTGGGACAACCAAGTGGTACTAACTGTCACGGTGGATGAAAAATGGAACCAATTTCGAGTATTTTTGAATTCAATCTTTTGTTTTGTTGTATATCTATGTTTTGAATTTTTGGCCATTTAAAATTTGCGTTTTTTGTTTCTGACATACTATATGAAAGTGGTTCAATGACCGTCGAATTTTGTTATCGGTAGCAATTTTTTTTCATATTTTATCCATGCTCTTCTAATTTATGTCAGTCAAAACCACAAAACAAGAATGTGTAAATAAAGTCTGTTCATGTTATTTATCATTTTATAGCTTTAAATGCTGTTTATGACCATGAGTCATATTATCCTTGAATTGCTAGGAGGACCAAGAAGAGACACTATGAGAGACATTCCGGTATACAAAATAAAGCGTTAAACATTTGAGTTGTGTATGTGCCACTTTTGTAATTTAGTGCTTCGGAATAACCAAAAATTGAAATAAAAGAAATATGAATAAACGAATATTGTTGAACAGTCTCTGGGAATTATTTCGTGTCAGAAAATAACATTAAGTGAGCTTCAAAATCGTTTAGAAATTTCAAAAAATATGTTTCTATGCTTCCCTATGCCTTATTTCTAGGATGAGTGTAACATGTTGATTAAAAGACCTTTCGATTCACTTCATGCCTTCTATATTAGAGCGCGTTTTTGAGAATGCATGAAGCTGAAATCTTGTCATAAATTAGGCCGACTTCATTAAATATATAAGATACAAAGTATTTCAATTGAATAAAACCAATTAACAAAATCACAAACAATAGACGCTGTTAAAATTAAATTTCGTCCTCTCATATAAATCATAAAAGTGATTCGAATAAGGCGTTATACAAAAAATGCATCTAGAATAATAATCTTACTAGACTAAACAAGTATTTATTTATTTCAAATGGCAGGCTTTATGATATTTATCATTAGCCCTTAATCTTTGACTTCAGCTTCCCCCAAGAGGGGGGGGGGTACATTTATAGCAGTTAATTAATAGCAGTTCATTAGCAGTCTTCTTGCTTCCCAGTATCTTTGGCTTTCCGTCCTTGTCTTTAGAGCTGGACACCGAATCAGGTGGGTCTTCTTCATTTCCTCATGTGGGTTACATAGAGGGCATGTGGGTTGAGTGTATACTCCCAATCTGTGAAGGTGTTTTGCCAAGCAATCGTGTCCGGTACGTAGTCTAAACTCAGCAACGGCTTCGATTATTGGCCAGTCGGCTATGTCGGAGAGTGCCACTGTCCACTGTTTCTCCTTTGTTCGAGCTTTAAGTTCCTTGCACCTTGAGGTCTGGAATTCTCTCCTGATTAAGGCCTTCATTGTGTGGAAAGACATCGGCCGGTCCATGCATTGCAAAATCGTTGTCCCCTTCTTAGCAAGTGTGTCAGCAATCTCATTGCCTTTAATGCCACAGTGACCAGGAATCCATTGTAGGACCACTGTTTTGTTTTTCTCTCTCAGCAGCTCATAGAGTTTTCTACATTCCTTTATCTCAGCTGTTTTGGGTGTCTCTCTGTTTCCAATAGAGTCTATTGCTGGCTGTGGGTCCGAAAGTATCACTGCTTTGGTGAATTTCGTATCCAGGCAATATAATTGGCATAGTGCTATCCTAATGGCCTCTATTTCTCCTTCAAAAGCGGATCTATTGTGTCCCGCTGCTGCGTAGAAAGAGAAGAGTTCAGAATAGACACCTGCACCAACGTTTGCTTGGTTTTCTATGTATGACCCATCAGTGAAGACTTGGAGCCATTGATCTCCAGGATAGTTGACATTGATTGTCTCAAGGGCCAGTGAGCGCATTTGCTCTGGAGGAGTGTTTGATTTCCTGAAGAAGTCGAGCAGTTGGGTGCGACACACTACATCAATGTCTGCTAATGGGTTCATGGGGAGAGGCTTTTTGGTTGATCATTAATTTGTAACTCTTTCTTCAGTTCTATAGCTTTCTGTATTAGGCCAGATTGCGTTTTCAGATGTCTTGGTCTATTCTCATAGGTGCTGAAGAACTTATCCATGGGAATGCGCAGTAGTTTCTCATACAGGATCAAGGCCTTCTCAGAGAAATCGGCTGGTTTAGGATAGTAAATGCGAGGCATACCTGC